GATCTCACACCATTCCATCACGTCACTTATCATAAGAGCAGAACCCATATTTCCACTCTTATTACCCATCAAAGACAATAAGGGCCACCGCCCTGATATACTCCTCTTGATCGACCGACGCTGCAGCTAACACATGCCCTACTATACTCAATTAGGGTGTATCCTGGTTCTTGACCATCTCAGTCCCCACTGACGACCTGCTCAAGCTATATCTTTACCTCGCGGCAGACCTACTGCCATATACTCTGGTTGAAGATCACCATCCGTGCAATCCCACAGGGCTCACCCCCAAACTCAAAACCGAAATCTCTACACCTCTTATGTCTCTCATAGGAACGGAAATAGCACCACTCGGGTCACAGGAAGTGACCTCTCCACTATCGGCCGGTTGCCCAGCCCAGAACGTATTCTCCCATAACGCACCATCCCTACTCATCCCTGAGTCTTGCGACTCCAACTGGCATATCACCCACAATCCCTCGGAGCTCGCTCGATTTCCCTTTTCAAGGGATGCTCCACTAAAACTTGTTCATCATGGCCTTCTGGCCCCATACTCATTCACCTCTGATCTCAGTCTAGACAATTCCCCACGGAATAACCAGAAACACTAACCGCCACATGTCAGGATACTCAAACCGTGTGGCCACTTCTCGATCTGCTATGGATTATGGTACCTGAACCATGTTATCTCCTCTTAATCTTCTACGAATCATGGTACTCAAACCATGTTCCCTCTTCTCAATCCACCTCACATCATGGCACTCGAACCATGACATCACCTCTCGACCTGCTACAACTCATGGTACTCGAACCATGACGTCACTTCTCAATCCGCTACTTATCATGGTACTCGAACCATGACATCACTTCTCAATCTGCTACTTATCATGGTACTCGAACCATGACATCACTTCTTAATCCGTTACTTATCATGGTACTCGAACCACGACATCACTTCTCAATCTGCTACTTATCATGGTACTCGAACCATGACATCACTTCTCAATCCGCTACTTATCATGGTACTCGAACCACGACATCACTTCTCAATCTGCTACTTATCATGGTACTCGAACCATGACATCACTTCTCAATCCGCTACTTATCATGGTACTCGATCCATGGTATCACTTCTCAATCCGCTACTAATCATGGTACTCGTACCATGATATCGCCTCTTGCGGCTATCGGATCCTGTCCCATCAAACCCTAGTGACTTCGTGTTGTTGAGCTCCCGGTACAGCAACGAGTCACCCCCTCGTGGCCTAGCAGTTGCGACAACTTCGGTGGCTGCAGCAGCAGCAACTTCCGAAACAGCAGCGTATCGCTCATCGAACGTCTCAATCAACGTGGTCTCGATAGACCCAAGCATCTCGTGTATGACCTTACGTATGGTCGCGACCACCTCATCATGAATCATCCTGCGAATCTCGTCATCGCTAACTCCGCTGCTCTCTGGTGTGTGACGTGTACCCACCATGCTGTCTCTGAAACACAACACAAAGATACCAGAGACTCGATCGAGTATACTCGCACTTGATCACCCAACCCTACTTGTTCCCTGGTACCCTAAGGATTCTTACTTGGACTGCTCACTGATCCGGTGTTTTCAGTAGTACGGGCCCTATACTACCGTCCACACCGCATCAGTATTCACAAGTACTCTACTTCTCGCTAAGCACAGGCTACCCTTCGGTATGCCTCTCATAAGCTCCTCACTGCTACCTACTCACCCTCGAAGCATCACATAGCAGCAGTAATCCCCTAGGCTAAGGCATCACAAATCAGGCCACTCTAGTCCTGATATGAATACCTATCCTACCCTAGCATGCATAACATATCATATCATATCTCATAACACATAATGTAAGGGTATTTTGGGAAATCACCGTTCGGGCAATTAGGGTTTTCCTACCTGATATGAATACCTATCCCAAACCCGGACAATTAGGGTTTTCCTTAACAGCGCTGACTCGGCGAGTCAGATACCCGACTCGTCGAGTCCCTTCATTAAACTGGTCACCGAGTCACGATTCTACTCGAAGAGTTGAGGCGTCAACTCGTCGAGTCACTCCTCATAACTCAAGAAGAAATACTCAAATTGTCATGCCTGGAAATCCGGATGTTACATCTTTTCTTGTTAAAATGTATAAAGTTACATTAAAAACATCAATATAAAAGTTAAAAATGAAAACTTAGTTGTCTAAACTATAATTTGCTAGAAAGTCACTATATTACCATAAAATTTCGATTTTGACACCAGATTATTTTTTTCTCAATTATGGCACTATATTTACAATTTTGTTGCAATATCAACCAAATAACCGGTTTTCTCTGTTCTCTGGTAACCACTTTTTCCGAATTTCAATAAAATCACTAAGTTTACTAAAATTTTGATTTTCACACCGAGTTTCAAATTGCAAGAATGTCACTATATTACCATAAATTTTCAATTTTGACATCGACTTTTTTTCAATTATATCTTTACATTAACATTTTGTTGCAATGTCAACCAATTGATCGATTTACGATATGTTATTGTAGTTTAGAAGCTCAATTTATACAACAAATAAATGAATGTTGATCCAATGATTCGAACTCACTTACAAGTCAACGAAAATAACATAATCACCCTTTCAAGAGAGGCTATTGTAGTTTAGAAGTTTGATTTGTACAATAAGTAAATGAAGACCCCTAAAAGGTCGATTTGTACAACAAATAAATGAATACCCCCAAAAGGTTGATTTATCTGTACAACAATTAAATGAAGACCCCTATAAATGAAGATCCCTACAAACTCGCTTCTAAACCAATTGACCGTTTAACATTAATGTAGCAGGTTACCAAATAAATAACATGACAATATTGTAATGTGGAAGCCACGTAAGATCTTATGTGGTAAGATTGATTTTCAAAATAATAGGATTGTTCATTAGGCCAAAATAATAGGATTTTTCTTAGGATAAAATAAAAAAGAACTAAAATTTGAGTCTTTGAAAGATAAAATTTTATAAGACAAAAGTGTTGTTTTTTGTTATGTTTAACTTTAGAAAATAATGAAATTTGACAGTTTTAATATATTTATTGTTAATTACTAATTAATGATTTGATGTTTTTAAGATATTAGTTATTTGTGATTTAAGTTAATTATCTTATACCTTATTTATATATATATATATATATATATATATAGGTATATATATATATATATATATATATATATATATATATTACAAGTAAAATGTTTAAACTCTTAAAATCTTTTAAAAAAGTTTTAATTGTCGAAATAAAAAATGCAAAATCACAAATGGTTATCTGTGATTAAAAACCACACAAAATAACTATAAAAAATAACCACACCAAATTCATGCGGTTAATAACCGAACCACAAATAAATAAATAAAAACACACCGCAAAAATAACCACATCAATCGGTTTTGAAAATGGATTAACCGCATTTGAGCTTAGCCGTGAGGTTTTTACTAAGGCTGGACGGAATAGAAGCGAGAAAGGGGAGAGGGAAGCTTCCCTCTCACTGGAACACCATCCCTTGGGTGAGGGGAGCAACCCGCGGGAAAGAAGTGGGGGAGGGGGTGCCGCACTCTCTTTCCTCATGCTATTGGGCAGTTTTTTTTTTAAATCTTTTTTAATATTTATAAAATTATATACCTACTAAAAACATATAAAAAATATATCAAAATTCATGGTTTTTAATTCCCTACAAAATGAGTATAATATATGTATGTAATATATTTTTTTAAAAAAATAAAAAAATAGTGACGGGGGGCTTACCACCCATTCCTTGGGTTTTAGGTAAGGAAAAAGGAAAGTGAGAGAAATGGTGGTGTGGCCCACAAAAAGTGAGGGAAACATTCCTCCCATACCCTCCGGTCTAAGAGAAATTAAATATCCTCCTATTTTTTACTACAAATCTGCATACCCAATTAAATGATAACATGTGTCACATTATTATACTAAAATGTCATTAAATTTCACTAAATAAACATTAAATGTGACAAATGTCATTAAAACTAATAACTGCACCGAACCGCATCACACTCACCTCCAATAGATAAATATTCTTTCTAAGAACATTTTAGTAAATTTGTTAAAATAAACAAAAGTTTTGTGTTAAATGTTATTTGAAGTCTTGAAATAGCTTTTAGATTTGACATTTGACGTTTTTTGTTTTAAATAAATGTTTTATGTTTGTACTACAAACATAGTTTTTACCATTTTCTTATCTTTTAGTGAAAAACCAAAAGGTAAAAGTGACCAAAATATTTCAAAAGCTCCTGCCAAACATGTTTGAAATATATAAATTTAGTAGCAGAGTAATAAATGCGTAATAATTGTTCTAAAAAAACAAATTCTCTCATATTTAAAGGCATTTATTCAAAAGATTTTTTACTAGTTGCTCATAAATGGTTATTTATGAATGTAAAAGTTAATATGTGATATCCTCCCTATTTTTGTTATTGAATGTAAAAGCTAATATGTGATATGCTCCCTATTCTTGCTATTTTAGTGAATACCTCAATATTTCTTTTTTCTTTTAGAGCATCCACAATGGTGAGTTTAATGAGATGGTTGAATGGGGTGGGAAATCTAGTTGTCATTCAATAGATGAAACTATACCATAGTGAAATGTTACATTGTCATTCAATGAATTTGGAGTTCACCAGTCATTGAACTCTTCGATGAGAAAAAAGAAATTTTCTAATCTTAATTACATACTATAAATTAGCTTTTGTAACTTTCTATTAAAATTTATAGAGTTCAATGCATTGTAGGAAAAATATTGATCGAGTTATATGAAATGCAGAATATGATGTGGTAAAGTCTATAGAATTCAATGCATTGTGGATGCCCTTGTTTGTAATTGGAATTGATTCATGTGGTTGGTTTTAATTCAAGTCTCTCTCTCTCATTTGCCTACCATTATTTTCTTTTGGTTCCTATATATACACATACTTGAAAAGCACCAATTACTAATATATACCATCAAAAATATCAAAAATCAAAATGGTGATCTCATTGTTCCTATTTCCATCAACACCTTCCTTGTTCATCAATGCAATGTCTATTTTCAACCTGTTGGCCCTCATTACTTCCGGTTACATGGAAATGATAGGCAAAAACAAGCAGTACGCTAAGTTCTGTGATGCCTCTGATTCAAACAAACAAAAAGACAAGGAGAAATGTAAGCTGCCCAGTAGAATCGGGATGCTTATGTTCTATACACCATCGTTCCTCGTGGGTCTTGTCTCTTTTGCTTTTTTTCCACATCAAGATCCTCGATTTGTTATGGTTATATCTGTACTCACCATTCATTTCTTCAAGAGGATCCTTGAGGTACGTACGCATGCATTTTCTTCTTTATAAACTTCAGTTCAAATGTTTTCATACAGCTTGGTGTGCAGGTTCTGTTCGTTCACAAGTTTAGCGGATATATGATGCTTAACGTTTCCATAACAATCAGTTTAAGCTATGGTGTGTCAATTGCTACAATGATTTACGCCCAATATTTATCTCAAGAATCTTCTGAACCTGCTTTCGATCTCAAATACGTTGGACTTGGAATGTTCTTGATTGGAATAAGTGGAAACTTTTACCATCATTACATTCTCTCAAGCCTAAGAAAGAAAGCAGATAGAGAGTATAAAATCCCAAAAGGTGGTTTGTTCCATTTCGTTATATGCCCACACTATATGTTTGAAATTGTGGAGTTCGTAGGAGTTTCATGCATTTGTCAGACGGGATTTTCGTTTTGTTTCACTTTGGGCACTGTGTTCCTGTTGATGGGGCGAAGCTATGCGACAAGAAAATGGTATGTTTCAAAGTTTGGTGGAAGATTTGGGAAGGATATCAAGGCTTTAATCCCATACTTATTTTAGGTATTTGTCGTTTAAGTGTTGGGTGTTAGTGATATGTCTGTCGATGCAAAGTATTCGATAATCTCTTGCAACAAAAAAAGTCGTCTCTGTATGGCCAAAAAAGCATTGGCGAATGCATTTTATATAATTTCAAAGAGAAATTTTGAAGTTTTTTGGTTGATAAATGATAATACTTATAACAAGGCATAATTAAAAAAGGAGGGGTGATATAATAAAATAATAATCTTTTCTACCTTTGGAAAGAAATATCTAAATGAATGGGTCAGCTTTATAATCAAACTTCTTTGTTGTTTTGTATACAAATCGTGTACATATTCTCCCAAAATTGTCAGGTGCATCCTTTTTTAGCAAACGACTTGATTTCATCACGAGGGTGTTTGGGATTTGTTTATTTAAATTTTATGTTTTTTTTAGTAAAAATGTTTATTAATTGATGTTAAAACAGAGTTTTAAAAAAAGAAAATTTTGTTTACATTATTCGTGACCAAAACGTAATAAACTAAAAAGTTATTTTTTATTGTTTGGAAAATGGTACTTATATGTGTAAGTATGAAATAATTTATCAAAAATGTTTATGAAATTTTCTTATCACATGCTTAAAACATTTTATTATCAGTGTATTTTATTATCAGTGTCAAATAAGCAATCTCAGAGACCCCTAAGTATTTAAACAAACTTTCTCAAAATCTATTTTTACTTTAATATTGTTTGTATTGTCATAGTAAACATAATTTCAAATTTTGATTGATTATTACTGTTTCATTAGATGTTAATTATTTAATTATTATAATTTTTCACTTATTAAAATTAATTAAAATAATAACTTTGATGTTTTGAAAATTTATAAATATTATATAGGGATAATGACTTGAAAGGGTAACGAACTTTCGACTTTGTTCACATTTAGTCACTAAACTTTTTTAGTTTATCTATTTGTCATTGAACTATTGAAACTGTTCACATTTTACCCTTATGACCGGCTGTTACCGGTCATAAGGGTAAAATGTGAACAGTTTCAATAGTTTAGTGGGAAATAGATAACGAAAAAAAGTTTAGTGACTAAATGTGAACAAAATAGAAAGTTCGTTTCCCTCTAAAAAGTTCAATGACTAAATGTGAACAAACTTCCTCTTGTATTATGTTTTAGCAAATTATTTATTTTTGTTAAATTATAGAAACATTTGTTGATGAAGAAATCTATGAAATAAAAAAAAAACAAAACCCCGAAAAATATATTAAAAAAAACGAAAAATCGAAACCGAAATAAAAAACCAATGGTTTGGTATTTTCCAAAATAAAAAATCACAATTTTCCAATCTGATTTTGGTTTTACAAAAATTTCAACTTTCGGATTTCCATATCTAAATCTCTCCCCTTTTTTATAATCGGAAAATGATTATAAAACCAAAAGGGGAATGAGAAAACGCTCAATTCAGAATTTTTTATCCAAAACTCCCCCTTTATGACATGAGAGATAGAGAGAGACATGTAAACATTTCTATATAAGGTGGGTTCATACCACATGTAGAGGTGTGTTTGAGAGATGTAACATTGAGAGTGTTAGTGTGTGTCAATTATGTAGATTTAGATCTAGATCCTTTTTTGTAAACATCTTTTATAATCGAATGCATCTCTTAAACACCCAAATCACCGTGTTCTTTGTGTGTTATTTAATTCCGCATGCCAAACCAGTGGTCATAATTCACATCAGTGAGAATGGTTCATTTTTTTTGTAAAACCAAAATCAGATTGGAAATTTTGATTTTTTATTTTGGAAAATGTCAAACCATTGGTTTTTTATTTCGATTTCGGTTTTTTCTTTTTTTTTAAAATATATTTTCAAGGTTTTGTTTTTTTTTATTTCATAGATTTCTTCATCAACAAATGTGGCTAGAATTTAACAAAAATAAATAATTTGCTAAAACATAATACAATAGGAAGTTTGTTCACATTTAGTCATTGAACTTTTTTAGAGGGAAACAAACTTTCTATTTTGTTCACATTTAGTCATTAAACTTTTTTTCGTTATCTATTTCCCACTAAACTATTGAAACTGTTCACATTTTACCCTTATGACCTGTAACAGCCGGTCATAAGGGTAAAATGCGAACAATTTCAATAGTTCAATGGCAAATAGATAACGAAAAAAAGTTTAGTGACTAAATGTGAACAAAGTCGAAAATTCGTTACCCTTTCAAGTCATTATCCCTAGTATATATGATATCTTAAACCTAGATTTAGAAGAGGATATATTAGAACATCTCCGATGGAATGTTTTTTATAGCTTATTATTATTTGGTTAAGTAGTCAAAATAACTAAACACTACGAGTGTAAGGCTTTTTTGCTCATTATTATTGACCACTCAATATATATTGAATGGTTAATATAGCTTAAAGGTTTGAACAATTAACCACTTTCTCTTTAATAATATTTCATTTTATCCATTTGATTTACTTTTGATTTATTTATTTTTTATCTAAAATTTATAGATAAATAAATATATAATATATATAAATATAAGTTATAGTAATATGTAAATCGTTTGTACGTGAATAAATGTTTATATTAAAATATGATGTGTTGAACAATCGATTAGTTAAATGAAGGGGTTTTATATAATATTTTAGATAGATAAGGATAAATAGTTAAAAAAAAGTCATAAAAAGTTGGGTTATTTCCATAAAAGACCTTATATTTTGATTTTTTTTCTTTTTAGACCTAAAACTTTTTCCTTTTTCGAAAAAGACCCAACTTTTACCTATTACTTGTTATTTTAGACCCTAGCAGGTTACCAAAAGGAAATTAAGTATTTTCATTTCATAAAAAACCATACATTTTGTACTTTTTTCCAGTTTAGACCTAAAATGTTTTTTTTTAATTTCAAAATAAACTCAACTTTAAAATTGGTTACATCTTTTAACCCTAGTTGTATAAGGTACTTAACTACACCGATTTAATGAAGCTTAACTTCGTTCATGCTTAAAAACGTGATTATATCTTTCAAATTAAAATAAAATCCTAAATTTTATTTTGGTAATTATTATAATTATCTGAGAATCAATAACAGTGATATACAAACACCATGTATTGATCTAAACACCATGTATACATAAGATAGATTAATAAAATGAGGTAGTAGACCAACTATTCGATTTTCTTTTCTCTACAACAAAATTTCATAGTTTTGTCAGTTTTGCTCATTCACCACATTCCAACCATTGTTAATAATGTCAACCATCGTATTTTGATATTTAAGTGTGCGGTATCATTCTTGTAATTTGGATTTTCAACTTATGCTCAAATGGTTTCATTCCCAAAATATAGGTTTATGTATTCATATGTGATGTTAACATTTTTTAAGAAAGTCTTAAACTTGAATCTCATATATCTAAACAAAACTAATACGAATGTTTAGGATTAATATTTTTATATATTTATTTGATATAATTATAACATATTATTTAATAATGGGCTAATGCTACAGAATATTATATGACTTTGGTTTAGGAGTATGATAGTGAGTGCGTTTGTTAACTGTTCTAAAAAAATTGATTAAAAAATTCGGCCAAAAAAATAATATAGAAAAGTGAGAGAGGGAAATATGTCCAAACTCACCAAATAAGTATAATAGACAAACTAAAAAAATTATTTTGTATACAGTTTGTTAAATTATATGGTATTTTTTTTCTATAAATAAAAAAATTTGTTACTATGCTAAAAGATTCTTCTTAGCCATCTATTATCCATGTTACCAAAAAATATCAAATTAACATCAAACTTTTTATTAGCGGTAATAATAACATTTTCTATAAACAATATATCAAGTTTAATGATATAATATATTTGTGTGTGTGTGTTTTTGCGAGGTTATATCATTTAAAAAGATAAATAATATTTTTAGAATTATGAATACGTGTTTTATAGATATAGTTTTTAGAAGTATAAATACATATTTTTACATTTTTATATATTAATATGTATCTATACTTCTAAAAATATATTTATATTTTAAAAAAAAAACATATATCAAAATACATTTTTACACTTCTAAAAATATATGTATATACTTATATAAACATGTTTATGATTGAACAAGTTTTTTTTATTGATATGTATATTTTTAAATACATAAAAATATGTATTTGTAGTTCTAAAAACATATTAATTTGTTTTTTTTTTACAACTTAAATGGTTTATCCAAGAAAAAAACCTATACACACACACACACACACACATATATATATATATATATATATATATATATATATATAAAGAAATAACATTAAAAAATGTAAATACAATATTTAATTAAATTTTTTTCGTATATAAATATGATTTTTCTGCATTAATACGTATAATATGAAAAAAAAATACATAGGGTAAAAGTGTAAAAAAAAATTATAAACTTAAGGGTAAAAACGTAAAAAAAACTGTAAACTTAAGGGTTTTTTGCGAAGTTAATATGATGATAACCTGTTATCACCGGTAAAAGGGTAAAACCGAACATTTTTTGGAAAATGTTAGGGTAAAAACGGACATAAAATTCAACTTTGGGCAAAACCGACAAAACCCTGAAAACTTGAGGGTTTTTATGACATTAGCCCTATAACTAATTTTAAAGTTGAGTTTATTTTGAAAAAAAAACATTTTAGGTCTAAAATGGAACAACTACAAAATATTGGGTCTTTTATGAAACAAAAATATCTAATTACCTATTGGTGACCTGCTAGGGTCTGAAATAACAAGTAACACATAAATGTTGGGTTTTTTTCGAAAAAGAAAAAAAAAATAGGTCTAAAAAAAAGTCAGAATATAGGGTCTTTTATGGAAATAACCCTAAAAAGTTTAACCATTTGACAAACAATTTAATTAGAGGTCAATAAAAATAAAACACCATTTGTTTGCAAATAAAACGTAATATAATGATAAAAAGGGGTATCGATCCTCGGGGAAATGGTTGTATTCAATCACCAATGCAATCCAATAGAACTAGTGAAAATAAACTAACTAACTATAATTAAGCTAAAAAGGGGGGGGGGGTTATGATTGCTTGAAAACTAAAAGACTTGAATAACTAAAAACTTGCAATTAAGC